CTTAATTATTTTATTATTATCAAAATGTGTTAATTTTTATTTTTTTTCTTGTAAATTTTTTATTTTATAATTTAAATTATATTAAATTATATAACTAAATCATTAGATGAAACATGAACCACAATATCAAGGGTTATCCAATTAATTGTATGATGTGGTACAATTTCAATTACACACGATTTTTTTATTTTAATATTGAATAATTCTTTTTTCATAAAAAATTATAAAATTGGAGAAATTTCAAAGTCATAATCAGCGAATATCAACTGTAGCTCTTTTAGATTAAGTCTGACTTACCTGATGTGTAGTTTAAAACCATAGGATCCCATTCACTCTTGGGACGAACCCACTTAAACTTTGGATCGCCGTTTTCCATCATGCCCTCGTAAGAATCAAGATAGTCAACAGCCCATGATGATGATGACATCTTCGCTGAGGCTCCATCATCGTCGACAAGGACGAGAAGTGGGGGTTTCTCATTTCGCGGGAACAAAGAGATGGCTTCAAGAACAAGACAACTAGACTGGTGGTCGACAAAAACGAGCTTTGATTCGCTGTGGCGGAGGAGCACAGACAGGGTGTTAGCGTCGAGGCGGGTGTTGATGTTGTTAAGTACGGCGCCAGACATGGGTACGGCGAACTGGAGCTCGTACATGGAGGGGACGTTGGGAGCCACGACGGAGACTACCTGTCCGCGTTGGATGCCGAGGGACGTTAACGACGATGCCATCTGGAGACATCGACGGTGGGTCTGCGACCATGAGAAGCTGACGTTGTTGTAGACGATGGAAGGGGAGTCACCGTAGGCGGTGGCGGCTCTGTCTAAGAAGCCTAGGGTGGTGAGAGGGGTGGAGTTTGCAGAGCTCGGGAGTAGCAGCTCCATTAATGGACTGCTTAACTTTCTAGCGTCAGATGCTTTAAAAAGACGTTTTAGGATGGTGAAATAGGCCATTTTCGGTAAAAGGACAGTGAAATAGTTTAAATTACCTATTTGGTTGCTGAAAGTTAGTGGTGGCAACAATTTAGTTTCAAGGCTTTTTCTTGTTTCGTTTTGATCCCTATTTCTTTATTTTGAATGGTACTCCTACAATAAGATGGAATTCCTGCGAACTCAAATTAAAACTTTACTTCTTTCGAAATGAAGAAATTATTAATTTGTTTAAATCATTAGTTCATTGCTAATGTTTAAAGTATTGTAAAAATATAAATAATTACAATAATTATGATTTAAGTCCCCTTAAGATCCACGTTTTGGCAATAAAAAAGAACTAGAAGAAAACGTTACTTTAATCCTGAAACTTTGTCGGCCAAGAATGGAATCCTTGAAACTTGTATATCTTTTTTTATATGTAAAAGAATTATAAAAAAGTGAAGTGTATTCTTCATTTCTTTTGGTACGAAAGTACATTTTGCACTTCTTATAATTAATAATACAAGAGTTTTTTAATATTGTGGGTTTAATCTCTTATTAATAATTAAAAAAATACAATCTTAACTAAGTGAAGAAAGGATCGTATTTTCAAAAAATTAACTTTTTTTATTTAATTTTAATCAATTTAATTTTTTTAATACGAGCTGTTTAAATTTAATTATTTTTATTATATTATTTAATATATTTATTCATATTTTATCTTTTTATTTTAAAAATAATTACAATATGTATTATATAAAAAGACTTATTTAAATAATAATTAATTAAAATAAATACAAATTTTTATTAATTAATTATTATATTTTTATTTTATTATTTTAAAAAATCCACTAGACGTGCTAAAGTTCAACAGAGAGAAGCAACTCAAAACTGGCATTGTAAATTTGTACCATAAATGAGTTAATGCCTGTGTCTACTGACCATGCAGTGCACTCAGCTCGAAAAATCCAACAATTCTGCCCCCCCATCCATAGAAATAAATAAACCAACAAGCCAACATAGCAGAACTCCATCAAATTTGAAATTTGAGGATTGAATTTTAATTATTGGTTACTAATAAAACTAACCTATTAATTATTATTTTTATTTTTAAAAAAAAAAGCAACATAGCCATTAATTAATTTGTGAGATATTTTTGCTTTCTCCCCAACTTGTGTCATGTGTACGGAAAATATTTTATTTTTAAATTTTAGTCAACAATTCGGTGAACTCTTGCCGTCCAAAAAACTGCATCTCATAAATATAGTAAATGCATTATCTTCTCAATATAATTTTCTCAATAATTGTTTAAAAAATAAAAATTAATTTCAATGTTACCAACTATTTAATTAAACTTGTACATGTATCATTGATATTGAAAGCAAAATTAATTTATATATATATAAAATGTGTAATTTAATGCATCTTTAGGTTAAATAAATTTTTTTTATGATAATGTTATAATTACAATATTATGTATAATTATAAATTTATAATTCTAACCTTGATATTGAAAGCAAAATTAATTTATATATATATAAAATGTGTAATTTAATGCATCTTTAGGTTAAATAAAATTTTTTTATGATAATATTATAATTACAATATTATGTATAATTATAAATTTATAATTCTAACCTCAATAAGGTGATCTAATGATTAATAATTTAAGATTTCAAATTAGAGATTTTAAATTTATACTTTGAGTTGGGTGAGAAGGTATTTAAGGAAAAAAGATAATTATCTTCTCTTATATAACCTATTCATATGTACTAAAAAAATAAATTTACAATTCTACATTATATTAAATAAATATAACATAAATTTAAATAAATAAATATTATTAATAAATTTTTAAATAAAAAAATAATTATCATGTATAATAAAAAATTACGTTACAAATTTATAATATGAAATAATATTATAATTATAATATTTTTATTCTTTTTCAGAGTTAGATTAGATTTTTGCAGGTACGACCGGCTTGCAGGCGGGTTGTTGTAGTAATTCAAGTTCGCCGGCAGCCCAAATAAGTACAGCCCACTTGATTTAATACGGTAGTTTGTCAGTCTATCCTGTCATTACTACCCTTTGGCTGATTTCAGTTGTTAGTATATTGTTTTGGGAATTTTGTAAGGGAAAAATCTACTTTGAGCCCCTCATCTTATTAAGTTTAAAAGTTTTAACTCTTTATCTTATATTATGACATTTTTAACTTCTTACCTTACTAGATCTATAAGTTTTAGCCCTTAACCTATTAAAATCGAAGAAAATAGCCCTTACTTTATATTGACTATTAACTCTGGTAGCTAAAAGTAGATTTTTGTTAATTAACAGTCTATTAATGACTAGTTAACAGAATTAATGAAATACTATAAAATTAGTTCTGTTAAATCTATTAGCTGAAAGAAAATTTTTGTCAACTGATAATCAATTAATAGTTAACTAATAGAATTAACGGTCAACTAATAGAACTAGTAAAATGTTATAAAATGAGGATTATTTTCTTTAATTTTAATATGTGATAAGTTAAAAGTGTTATAGCATAAGATGATCAGTTAAAATTTATAAATTTAATAAGGTGAAAGGCTAAAACTTTTAAATTTAAAGGATGAGGGGCTAAAAAGCAAGCTTTTGCCATTTTGTAACGTGTGTTCTTGGTAGATTTCAGTTATAAATTTTTTTAAGTGAATCCTTAGGCAGACTCACAGGTTAAAAAATATATATTTATTATATTTTTTTATAAATTAAAATGTTTTATTTTGTAACATTAGTATTAAAAATAAATTTTATTGTTTTTATTTTTATCTAAATTAATAAAGAAAAAAGTACAAGAAATACACCATAAGAGTATAGGTTGAAAAAATTTTACTTTTTTTAAAATGAGTTTTTTTAACTTTTACTTTTAAAACATAAGTTAAGAAATATAATTATTATATTTTTTTATATTAATTAATATTAAAAAATAAAATTTAATTATTTAATTAAAATTTTTTTCGAACATGTACCCTTAAATGTGTAATAAATATATTTTTTAATTATAAATTTATATTAAAAATAAAAATAATTTTTAATTTATCAATTATTTAATTAAATTTATTTATTTAACACTAATACTAAAATTAAAATCAAAATTTACATTTTTTAATATACATTTATAATAAAAATGTGCTCTCAATCTGTCTTAAAGGATACAAATTAAAAAAAATTTAAATAGAATAATTTACGTGGTATTTATAGTGAACTAACATTTGTATATTTTTATAATAATAATTAATGCAAAAAGAATAATTATCCTATAAAGGTATAAATAAAAAAAACTATTTAAAAAGAGAATTCAATATATAACATTAATTTTTTTTTCAATTTATATATTTTATAAACTTCTATAATTTCTTTAATAATAGTACCATATAAAAATATGACAAATCAAAGAGACCCAAAATAATATTTTTCAATTTTTTGTGAAACGTCTTGTTATTTTTTAACTCCCTTTAATACTTGCATTCCATGCTAAGACTGCATCTCTGGTTTTAAAAATCTAGAAATGTTGGAAAGTGGTAGAATGAAGTAATTAATTTGTAGGAAGACTTTTCAGTTTCTCAAGCGGTGCTCCGTGGAGATGAATAGGCAAAGCGCATTAAATACTGCAATCTCATGGGGGAATCATACCTAAAGAAAACATTGCGTGTGAGAACCAACAATCTAAAAGATAAGTAAAAGGACCCGACACCTAACATGCTATCTCAAATAATAGATACCCATAAGAGGGAGAGAAGAAATCAGAGAAAACGTAGAAAAATGGAAATCATCCTTCATCTTTCCTGTAGAAAAATACAGCTCTTTCCTGTTAGGAGTTCTCTATTATACAACAATCTTGCCAAGAAACATTGGCTTCTCAGACCCTTTTACTTTCATTCATGGTACAAATCAAGCAACAGATTTAAGTAGCACTCCCTGTTGGAAGGATTGTTTCCACCGAACCTGTTTCTGGTCCCAAGGTTAAAGGGGAGATCAAACTACAATATACAGCTCTCTAGATTCATGTTTTGCTCTGAAGAATGTATCCAGATCGAATGAAACCTACTACCTACCAAAATAATTCCTCTGACCTGAACAAAATGCAAAAATGCGCTGCAAATAAAGTCTTGTTCCTTGGAGATACACGTATAAAATCAACATCAAATGGAGTAATGAAAACCCATAAATTTTGAATCTTGTCATCTTCCAAATAGCAGAATCTCTTTTAACTCTTCGTCTGAGCAGCAGCCAACTTCTCTTCATAATTTAGAGTGTTGGCCGCATTTAGAAGCATGTCCATTCCACCTCTACCTTTATCTGATTCCCTTTCCAGATCTTCAAATGCCATTTTTCCCTCTCTGCCTTTTGATTTGCATTTATTTTCTAAAATCTGATATGCTCTTTTTGCTTTGCGTATACGCTCTAGACCAGCCTCACATCTGCTGCAAAACCATTTTCCTTCTGGAATTGAATCACGTGGAGGTGTCATGCAGTAAAGGTGGTATGCATGATCACAGCCATCACATAGAACAATCTTGTCATCATCTTTGTCAACCAGGCAAGCTCCACACAGACAGGAAGGGCAGTACCAACGAGGCCCATAGGCTTTTAACTGCTTTGATGTCAAGCACCTTGCATGGTAATACTTGTTCTCACAGAAATTATGCTCACACATCCTGTACTCCCCTTTTTCGACCTCACACTTGCAAATTTTACAGAGGCGCGAGTCCTCAGTTGAGGATTGAAATCCATCATCCATGATACAGTTTGAATCTTCTTCAAGTTCATTAAGTGTCTCACCATTTCTCATATCATTTTTGTCAGCAACATGATTATCTAGAATTAAGGGGGCATTTAACCTCTCACACACAACACAGTTCTCATGGGGAGATACCATAGTGTCACCAATGCAGCTACTGCAATACCAACTTTTTGGGGGAATCTCCTTTATAGCAGGCTTAATACAGGCAACGTGGTACATTCCCTCACATGCATCGCAAACTAAACAATCCCTCCCATCTGCTGTCTCCCCACAATGCCTGCAAGTGCTAACTTTGTATGCACCACAGGCTTCAGTTGGCTCCAGTTTAGCATGTGATTCTGATTCTCTCGTATAAAACTGGTTTAATTCAACAGAATTAAAATATTTCTCAGGACCAGCTAAATCTTGAAAAAAAAAGAAAAAACAACAACAACAAACCTCTAATATATAAACAAGAACCATAGATAAGATGAATGCCCAAGATACATGATGCCATAATAAACCAAAGTTCACAATTTGGCTAGCCAAGGTCCTGATTGCCAGATAGCAGCAGAAGGCCCTTCCTAACCTCAGCAAAATCTAAGACATCAGCAAGACTGGAAGCATCTGACTAGACAAAATTAAAAACAAAGAGAATACTAAAATCACCACACAATTTCAGCTTTTTGATGATGCACTTGAAAAAAAGACACATGGCCAAGAAGGAAAAAATTAACCTGTCAGGTATCTACTAACTCTAAATACTGGGGTCAAGGTTAGGGCTTCAAGCAATGGCTAAGCACTTTAAATTTCCTCAAACACACACTGAAAAGAAGGAAACGGAGAGAGAAAACGACACTGAAAAGACTGTTCAATTTCCAAAGAATGAGGGAAAATCATTCCGAATTTCAGGGTTCCTTAATGCACACAGGCAATTTCCATTGGTATGATGATGCAAACGCAAGAGCAGGAGGACTTATCCAAAATACCACCCTGGACCTACTGTCTCCAGACTCCAATGCGCCATATGCAATCCAACAACCAAACATGACTTGAATGCACATCTAAAATTCCAGAAATTTATTTTGCTAACCCTGTTTGCCAGTTTGTACTATGACACAAGTAAAAGGATTACCTCATGTTTTTCCTCGTCAATAATATCATGGGCTGAGCATCCAATCTGAAAAACGTTAAGAGAAATCCTTACTACAGCTAAATGATGGTGAATAAATTGCATGATCAAAAGCATAAAAGCAGTAAATTTATAAGCACTAACATAAAATGAAAACAATTAAAAGTGCTTGACTGGCAGAGCAATATTCACAAATAGGTTTCTTACCTGTTCACTATAGCAAACCCTTGACAAGTCTGAGAGGCCTTTTGTGAGAGATATTATTTCAGTTCCAATATCCTGAAGCTTTCTCCATACCTGCCCAAATTGTCCAGGTTTAAGATACATATAATGATAAGCAGAAACCCTATCTCCACCAAACAAGCATTATTCTGCTACATTGGAAAACGCATCAAGCAATCATATATGTAATGTAGTGCTTTTAGTTTTCGCATAAAAATAATTTTGAGAAGTAAACTACCTCAACATGACAAATCAACTTTTTTGCAGACAAATTAAGAAAAAAAAATACTTTGATAGATCATATACAGGAATGGAGAGAAGTAGATGTAGAATGGCAATCAGCAAATAATAACAATACATTTTCATAAAAAGAGATACAGACAAACAAAATAGAGGAAACGGATTCAGACCAATTTGGGTTAAGAGTACTTATTCCCTTTCTTTTCAACGATCTCTTTGGTACTAATCATGCAAGACTGCAGCTCATCTCTTATATTCATTTTCTAATACATAATGTCTACCAAGAAAAGACTCCATCCCCCTAACTCCCTTTCTACCAATAATAGAAAATAAAAAATAAAAAATAAAAATAGCCAGGAAGCTGGAATTAAAGTAATGCTCTTTCAAGATTAAGTTTGATATAAGTCTAACAAACATGAAACACCTACAGAGCTTTAGGAACAAACATAATGCTGTTTAAACCATCAACTGAATGGTCTTCAGAGTAGTAAATGTAATATAGATTTTTTTATTGCCAAACAGAGCATGTTCATTCAAACAAGAAATGATCATACAAATTACCTGTTGTATATCTGTTAAGAAGAGCATAGGTGAATCTTCATACACTCCCTCTTTCATCCTTGAGTTTATAAGACTTAAGTGAAAAATTCTGTCCTCTTTAATTCCTTGAAAATTGTCAAATAGTAGCTTACACAAAGATGTGAACTTCTCGGAAATTATAATATTGAAGAAAACACGCTGACACATCTCAGTCACAGATCTTTTACTTAATTCTTTCAAAGATCCATTAGATCTAGCACCCTCCATCACTTCAGCTGTATGCTGAGTTCCATTAGGAATCTGCCCAGTGTGTGAAAAGCATTTTTGTCTATCTGCATTGTAAATATTGGATTCCTGTAGAAGAGCCGGGAAATAAAATCACTAATAACAAGGAAACAAAGTAATGTTGGCTGCAAGAGATTGTAAAGTCAATAGTGCATCAAGTTTAGCAAGGGTAATAGAAGAAACCTTAACCAACTTGGTAAAAGAAAATTCTGGATGAAATGCAAGTGCATCCCGAATGCAACGCTGTATACCACCCTCCTCATCACTTAGTGAGTGATACATGTGCTCCAATACGACATTTCTCCACTGTCTCTGTAGACAATCATTCGAACCATTCAATGAATCATGAGATTCTTTTGCAGGAAGATGGACCTGTTCACATGACTCTTTGTTTACAAGCTTGTCCAACAATCCTATAGTCTTCAAGAAACCAAATGTAGTACAGAACAATAAGAACTAGGATTGGGAGTGCATCAGCACAATAAGAACACTCAGGCATCCCAGGAAGAAGAAGGTAGTACATCTTAAGTGGTTCAACTAGATAAACCATTAAAATACCAGTATTGTCTAGTTACTTTTTTTGACACAGATAATATATAAACATGATTCAAAAACAAGTTAGTTCAATGTATAATGTTCTGATCAACTGATAGAAAAAATGCCATCCACCATTTAACAGAAGAAGAATATTTCCTTTGAAAGGCTTTTTCTTTTATTGCTAGAACAGATCCTTATTAAGGGGGTTACAGAGAGATGCCCCCTTTTAAGGATTTCTAATATTGTAAGCTGGAAGTAACAAAGAGCTAATATCGAATGCATTCTAAACAATCCTAAAAAGTCTGACAATTCTCACTCAAATTTAGTGCCCAGCCAATGCCAGCTAATATTCCAATAGAAATTCTGCTAATTCTTAGAAGATATGTAAACTAAACCTCAAAAAACAATGCATGAGATCAAATTACAAGACATAATACAGCACAAAACTCCCTCTAGCAAATCAATCGTCTGAGACAAATATTTACTCTAGCAAGATAAATCTTTTTTTCATCTTTCTTCCTACTGCTAAACTAAAGGTACCATAATACCCAGAATACTTCTCAAATACCCTTAACATGAACCACAGACATTCATTTTTGATAGATTCCTATTCAAAATCATCATAAAATTTCATCTTTCAAATCATAGTTCAGACACTATTCTTAGAAGTTTAAGCAACATCTCAAAAATTAGCTTCACCCAATCAGAACTCATAGTAATTGTCTGCAGGCTTAGCTTTCTCACTTAGTTCCAGGCTTCCAGCAAAATTTCATTTTCAGCTACCATTGCATGATACTACAACTTAATTTATCTCAGCAGAACAACTTCTAGAAAAAGAATAAAGGGAGAAATACATAGCAACATATCTCACCACTGATTACTATTACAAAGAAAACAAACCAAACCAGCATCCTTTACATTTACATGCATATATTGAGATATACCTGTTCTGTTGATTGACAACCAGCTCCTACAGAAGCTCTCCCATCCTCTTGAACTTTGCTCTCAAAACTTGACCTCAGCTGCCTCCGCCTCTTATAAGTTCGAAAACCGTCCCTGGTTCCTGAGCCCCCGTCATCAAAATCATGTAAAATGTCGCAGCCAATTCCATTATTCACTGACTCTCTTTTAAAGTTCAAAATTTGCTCAGAGCACTCCATACGTTCACCATTGCTAGTCCCCTCATTGCCACCCATCCCCTCAATTCACAAAAAGGAAACCTAATTTTTTCAAGCAATCCACATCAGAGCTAGGGTTTCACAACGAAATCACATTAAGAAAATTCAAGATTCCACATAAATTCTTACATACCTACTTCAAATTTCAACAAAAATCAAACCACCAAAACCAAAACATGTACAGAAAAACGAACCCAGATTGGCAGAAAAGAAAATGTAGAAAAAAGAAAAGGAAATTCAACTCTGAATAAGAGGTCCGCCGCTGCTCTGGCTCCTCAGACAGCCAAGAAACGTAGAAAATCTACTAATTCAAGAGCAAGATTCAAACTACACTTCAATTTAGAACACCCTTTCCCATTTCATGCTAAAAATTCTAAAACTCAAAATCCAAAAAGTCAGGTTTCTGTCATTTTCCGCCCGTTTTCCAGGCAACCAAACAGAACATAACAGAAACAAATTGTCGAGAAAAAAAGAAAAAAAGAAAAAAAAAAAAAGAGAAATCAGATTAGAAACAGAAATGGAAGAAGCTTACAGAGTCTAAATCTTGAGGGGTAAACCCTAACAATCTTGGATTTGAGTTGTTCTTCTAAACTTTGGCTCTGAAACTGTTCTTATCCTTTCTGTTTTAAAAAAACATTCAAGACTGCGGCCTTTTTGCATCTCCTGTTTTTCTTTTCTTCTTTTTATTGTTTTCTTTTTCCCGTCGGGTCTGCCACGGATAGAGCGGGTTGCCGGTGATGGAAACTGACAGCTGGCAGTTTCCAAGGGTACCCATTGTAGAGATCCGTCAACTCAACTCAAATCTATTAGACTTAAGTCTATATTAGTAGGATAAGGAAAATCCTTACAGTACCATACTTTCTATCTTATTAACATTTTAAATTTATAATTATAATATATTATTAAATAAATAAGTATATGTAATATTATAAATAAATTTTTAAATAAATTATATAAAATCACATTATATTTTAAATTTATAATGTTAAATAATATTATAATAATTATATCATTTTTGATGAATTAAGTATAATAAAAAAATTATATTTCAAAATAAAAAA